TGTCATATTTTAATTTAAAAATAAATAAAAAATCACAAATATTTCTCATTCTCTCTCCTCTCCCACCACTCATGCTGTCGATCCTCTCTCTCAAACCATCGTCGCCGTCTTCTGCAACTCGACGGAGGTGGGTTCCCGCAGTTTCGCTTAAACCTCTTTTTGCACCAAACTCAACCAACCGGAGAATCACCAGAGACGGAGATGGCGAACTCGACGGCGGTGGATTCCCAAACCTAGGACCCTTTCTTCTCTCTTCCACTCGAAAAAAGAACCCCAAATCGAGTTAGTTCATCCAAAATCCCTAAACGATCGAGAATGCTTGAGGAAGATCGACTGCTGTGAGAAACGAGAGCAAACATAACCGGATTTCCATCGCTTACCGCCGCGTTTGGATGAGGAGAAAAAGCAGTTTTTATCGCTCCAATGACGTCGCCGCCGTGCTCATCGCCGCTTTCGGAGGAGGAGAAGAAGCAGCAGCTCGCGACCGCCTTACTTCGCCAGAATCGATCAAGGCTCTACTCTAGTTCTTGTAATCAGACGGAAGCAGAATCGCCGCCAATCTCCCCCTTCGTATCCAACCTCTTCCTAACCCTAATGTTCCGGCTCCTTCAGATCTCAACCTCAAAATCCGGTGACCGCTTTCAGATCATCCCTAATCGAAGCCGACTCTGTCTCGTTCCACCCGGAGATGATAATTTCCTCCTAGAAAGAGCAGAGCATGAGCGAGAGGCCCGTTGGAAATTCTAGACAAGCTCTATGACGATTCGAAGGACAGAGCCGCGTTGGGGGAGCTCTCTGACGGTTCGACTGCTTGTGAAAGGGACGAGAAGGAAGAAGGTGAAGGGACGAGGCAGTGGGACGAAAATCTCGTCCATGGCGAAATCCATTCCCAGCCTAGTCTGGCGGCAATGCCATCGCAGGGAAGAATCGAGATGGCGATGGAGGTGGGGAGAGGGCGGAGAACAGAGGGTAGGTTGGGTGAGAGAAGTTTTTTTTTTGTTTTATTTATTAGTTTTTATTTTTCATAAATCAAAAGACCCAGCCATTTAAAATATTTTAATTTTAATTATTGTTATTTTAAAAAAAAACTAGTAAATCCACGTGGGAAATACGTACAGACAAAAATCGCCAGATCAGACGATCCGTTAGTCCAGTCAGCACGTTAACTCACACCGTCAAAGAATTGGACGGAAGTGGCTATTTTTGGTATTTCTTCAAAAGTGACTATATTTGGCAAAACCGTCAAAGTTTTGGCTACACAAGTGTATTTTGCCAAAATAGTATTAAAGAAAATTTTGGTTGCTGCACATTCATATGGGTGAAACAAGAATTTTGAGGAGGAGAAAGTAGAAGGGAAGTTAAGTGTTGTTTATTTAAGGATTAAAGAAGTATGAGCCTCGTTGAACCAATTTATTGAGCCAAATTTGAACTATAATTTTTGTAACAAATAGAGCTCGAACTTATTCTTTTTTCAACTTTGTATCAAACTTGAATTACATTTGAGCTTTGCTAAAAGAATTTAGAAGAAATTTTAATCAAAGTTGGACTCAACTCAATTCGTTAACTCCTATACTGGGATTAATTCTGGGGAGGTGACATCCTCCCAATTCCCACATTTTATGGTGTTATGTAGCTTGACGACAAAAGCTTGTTCATTGCCTTTGAAGTGGGGAGCGGGCGGTGTGCCCTCGTTTTGCCGCAAACCATCTTGTCTAATAAAAGTGACGTTTAGCAAAGTATAGATAGGGGGATTGACTTAATTATTGTAGTTGTAGTTTTGTTGACACTTGTTGTTGTTGTTATCAGGATGGGAGACAGCCAACCATCTTGGCTCCTTCACCTCATCTCTCAGACAAGAGAGGTTGACGTTGTGGCTTATGACCAATCCATGGCGGGGTTGTAGGCTCTAGCTAGCCATCAAACATTTCCACCAAATTTCATCTTCACATATGAAGCTCCAAGGTTGTGTTTCGGGTAGGAAAATGGTATATAACATTTCAAAGATTTTTTTTTTACCAAGATATTGTTTGCTTGGGTGTAGACCTGCACGGTTTTGTCTTAGAGTTGTATATCAAGGCGACGTCTCGGAATTTCGCTCATCCTTGTATTGCTACAAAGTCTACGGTGAGTACGTTTATACTTTGGAGTTTTTACAATAACACTTCCATGTCAACTAAAAAGGTGTATTGTCATTTAAGGTTGGTTTCTTACTTTTGAAGCATGGATCTCTCCCCGTGCTTTATCGATGTAAGATTTGCCCAAAGTGTTACATATGAATCATTGATCTCTCCCGTGTTTTTATCAATGTGTGATTTGTCTAAGTTGTTATATGAATCATGGATTTCTTCTTGTGTGTTTTTCGATGTGGGAATTGCCTAAGGTATGTGTTACATACACCCCCTCATGGACTCAACATTCTTGCTGAGGTTCGCTCCACCATCGTCAAGAGACGCGGAGAGGCTCTGGTACCACTTGTTACATCCCAAACCTTTTTCCGACCAAGATATTGTGTTTACCCATAAAAAATCAGCTTATACCACATCGATTAACTACAAGAAATTCAATGGATTTACAAGGCCAAACCCCTTCTTCTCTATACGATGGCCAACCCGTCTCCGGGGCCCCCGTAGCCGGATGATGCCTCCACCCCTAGTATGAAATTTGGTTCCCAAAAACTAAGTCTGGAAACAAGGCGACACAACGGGGTGCCAAATGACCGGGTACCAAGTCAGATACCAAATAGGAGGCCATCCAAAAACTAAGTCTGGAAACAAGGCGACACAACGAGGTGCCAAACGACCGGGTACCAAGCCTGATACCAAATAAGGGGGCCAAACAAGAGGGTATCAAGCCGACAAGGCAGGCCTGGTACCCAAGTGAGAAATTTGGCTAAGTATGAAAAACAAAGCGACATAACGGGGTGCCAAACGACCGGGTACCAAGCCGGATACCAAATAGGAGGTCATCCAAAAACAACGTCTGGAAACAAGGTGACACAATGGGGTGCCAAACGACCGGGTACCAAGCCTGGTACCAAATAAGGGGGCCAAACAAGAGGGTATCAAGCCGACAAGGCAGGCCTGATACCCAAGTAAGAAATTTGGCTAAGTATGGAAAACAAGGCGACACAACGGGGTGCCAAACGACCGGGTACCAAGCCGATTACCAAAAAGGGGGCCGCCCAAAAACTAAGAAATTTGGATAAGTATGGAGCCAAAGGGGTATCAAGCCGACAAGGCAGGGAATGCAGGGCTTGGTACCAAGACATGAAAAGCATGAATTTGGCTAAGTATGGAGCTAAGGGGGTACCAGGTCGGCAAGGTAGCCTTGGTACCAAGACCCCTACAAGGTACCAAGCCGGTAAGACAGGCTTGACAGCAAAGCAAGGCAATAGGTTAACAAGACCCCAAGGGGGTATCAAGCCGACAAGACGGACTTGATAGCCAGACATCAGGGTATCAAGCCAACAAGACAAGAAATTCGACTAAGGCGACAAGAAATTCGACTAAGGCATGGTGGCTAGCTGAGGTAGCCACCCAACTAGGTACCAAACAGCCATGGATGGATCGGCCAGGACGGGGCACCCAACCGGTAGGGTGCAACTTACAAACTTGACGAGGCTACAAAATCTAAGTATGGAGACCAAGCCAGAGGCTTGGTGGCATGCCAGAAGGTATCAAGCCGATGAGACGGCTTGGTAACAACCAATAAGTTAATGAGGAGAACTTGGTGTCATGAGGTGGTAGCGGTCTTAGGAGCGGGGAGTCATCAAGCAGTCGAAGGTGAGATCAAGACCTCATCATGGTTCATTGAGGCTAAGGCAAGAGCCTTAACCCCATCTAGTTATGATAGGGCGACAAGGCTCAACACCAACCCGACCCGACATCGACGCCATCAGGTACCCCACCAACTCCAAGGCGAGACAAGGGCCCCCAAGGCAACAGTTACCAACTAGTCACCAAGGCGGTGACAAGGACCCCGAGGCAGTTTGGTGGAAGAGGTCAGCTAGCAGTTACCAAGGCGGTTACCAAGGCAGTTACGCCTAGTGGCTATAAATAGAAGAAACGACGAAGAAGCAGAGGTTCCACAACCAAACATTTGACGCACAATGTCAAACTTTATCTTTTCTCTGCAAATTAGCCATAGCCTTGGTTTTCGGAGCTCTCACTGAACCTCCATAGGAGTAGGTGTAATTAACTTAGCTTTGTTCCCAAAAAACCATAAAAAACATCAAACACCCTCGTTCGAACATTGTTTGGAGAGGAGTGGACCGTGTTGATTTTCGTTGTTCAAGAAGTCAAGGTGCATTCATTGAGTTCAAACACCAGATTTTCCTCGCCGGAAAAACATATTGTCTACTTTTGAGCAGAGATCCACACGGTTTTTTCCCCTTCCTTATGACGCATATCAATGTGACTTCCCGAGATGTCACACATCCTTTGCAATTTGCATTGCTCCAAAATGAGCACGTTCAACTTCAAAGTTCAATAAAAAAAAACTCTTCCATTTAACCCGAAAAAGCTTCTGTTAGTGTCGATTTCTAGTTTACGATTCATGGATCTCTCTCGTACTTTGTCGATGTGAGATTTGCCTAAAGTGTTACGCTAGTTTACAAGAGCATTAAAAGAAGACATTACACATAAAATAAATAAAAATTTCAAGAACTTCATTAACAAAAACTTTATGGTACAAGATGTCAGGTGAAAAATAGTTCTCCCATCTACATCTATAAACCCAAACATAATTTCCAAGACGGTGCACAAGTGTCATATTATTTTTCAGTGCTCTCCTCCAACTCCAACCCCAACCCCACTCAATCCGACTATATTAAACTCATCGCTACGACCACACGAGCCAAGGTGAGGGCAGAGGGCCAGCAAGCAAGCAGCCAGAAAACTGTTCACTGGTTCAGGGTCTCGTCCATTTTCAACCCTTTTGATGATACCCTCTCTCCCTCTCCGGTCTCTACCTAATACTGGAACACAGGAATGAACAGTTGAGTTTCCCACCTCTCTCTCTCACTTTCAATTAGATACGGGAAATGTTGTTTTTTCCCCCTCTGCTGCAGAAAATTACGTGTCCAAGGAAGGCAAGTCTGTGTAGTGTAGTATATATACATGTTATACATCAGAGATCTCAGACCCACCACCATGGGAGAAGAGATGAGAAGGACTTGCAGGCAAGCAGTAGCAGAGCTTAATCACCTGCTTGCTTATTAGCTTACTTATAAGTCGCAATCATTCAGGGTTTTCCTCGGCCCTACACCCTCTTCCCCTTCTCTTTCTCTCCCCTGTCCTTAGGCCTAAAGCCCAAACCCAAAGCCCTTCTCTTCCCTTCCCTTCCCCCTCTCCTCTCCTTTTGTTCCAAAACCTTAGTCATCGTCTCTCGTCGGCTTGCTATTCTTTTCTCTGTCTCTTCTCCTCTCTTTGAATTGAATCTCTTCCCCCGTCTCCATTTGCAAAAAGGTTCCCTTCCCCTGCCCCTCAATTATTAATACATAGAGAAGCCTCCCCTGCCTCCTTCCCCCGCTTCGCATTACCACATCGTCTCTCTCTCTCTCTCTCACTCACTGTTTCTCCATGAACATCAAAACTTTCTCACCGGAGGCGATGGCCATGCTTTCCCGCCGCCGCCGCCGCCACAGTCACAGAAATCACTTAACATCCACAGTCGCCACTGCCTTCACATTCCTCTTCCTCTGCCTTTTCCTGTCCTCCACCACAGCTCTGGCTCAACTTGGTAACTTCTCCACATCTGCCAATTTTGGTTTTGACTCCAAATCTTTGAACTTTGCTCGTTATGTAATCAATTGTTGGGGTTTTCCTTTTCTGGGTTTGACTTTTTGGGGTGGACAGGTGGTCGTCAGGGGATGACAAAAGCAGTCAGAGATACCAATTATGAAGGGAAGGTGGTGGCGGTGGGAAGCAGCAGAAGAGGGTCGGTGAAGGCGTTAATGAGGTTCGACCGGTTCATGGCCCAGAAGCGGATGGGCGGGCCGGGATCGTCGCCGCCGACCTGCAGATCCAAGTGCGGGGTTTGTGCGCCCTGCCGGCCGGTTCACGTCCCGGTTCAGCCGGGAGTGAGTTTCCCTCTGGAGTACTACCCGGAGGCTTGGCGTTGCCAGTGCGGCACCAAGCTCTTCATGCCCTGAAGGCTGAAACCCCCCCCCCATAACCAAAAAAGACAAGAGAAAAGGTACAGAAAACAAGTGTGGGAGGGAGCTAGGTTCTCTCTCGTCTTCCTGCTATTTTGCTGTCTGGATTTTCCTTTTTGAGATTCGGGGGTTGCGTTGTCTGCTACTGGTTAGCTGGAAATGGAGGTGGGCAGGGGACTCTGTTTTGTTGGTGAGGAGGGAAGTAAAGTTGCGAACGTACACTCTGTTTCCTGCTTTGTGTTTGGTGCTGGCCACCATTGGGCGGGGAAAGGCCATGTCTGAAGGAGCTTTGGGAATGTAAAGTTCATCAATTTGTTCGTTTGTATAGAGATAGAAAGCAAGAGAGAGAGAGAAAGAGGTTAGTTCGAAATTACCAAAGAAAAACAGAGTGGTTAATCGCTCTCTCTCTCTCTCTCTCTAGACCTCTACCTTCTTCCCCTGCCTCTCATCATCTTTTTGCTCCCCGACCCATCAACAAGGAAGGTGCATTAATGATACCCAATTAAGGTAAGACAGATTGGCAAAAGATCCATTGCTGTAATTATTGTTCTAGTCTCGTAGAATTCTTGCCTTTGTATCCCCGACAGTGTATCAATGGCGGATCCTAGAAAGAAAAATTGAAGGAATGTTGGGGTCAATTATGTGAAGTTTGGGGAAATGGGGATGATGTACAGTGCATCATTTTGTTTTTAGTAAAGACTAGGTGGGGTGGTAAGTGAATTTTTCTGGGGTTGATTGAGGCTGCTACTGTTGTTGGAGGCAGGGGAAACAGCTGCAGAAAGAGCTGTAGCGTTTGTATGATATGATAAGGATCAAAGCTAGCTGTGGTCATAATGATGAAAAAATGTGTCAACCGTCTCTTCCTCTTCTTCTTTGCCTTCCCTCCTTTGCTTTTCCGATGTCAGTAGAAAACAAAAAAAAAAAGGCTGTGAAAGAGGTGAAGTGAACAGTTGGGGAATAACATGGGAGGGGAAGATGGGTTGATTTGAGGGTTTGCAGGCAGAGAGGGAGGGAGGAAAGAAAGAGAGGAAACCAAGGACTGCCATTGGCCATGTGTTGTGCTGAGATGAGAATGGGCCTTTTCTGATCAGAGGAGGAGTATTATTATTGTTTGTACCCACTCTAAACCATTATTTGAAACGACCGGGGAGAGAGATGGTGAGTAGCTAACCGGAAAGGTAACATAGAAGTGAAAGGAACCATGATGGGTTGAGTATGTTGGTTTTCAGCTCATTCGATTCTACCGAAGGGTCAAGATTTGCGCGAGCAAACATATTAATGATGAATAACACATGTTTTATACGGCAAGGCTCGAATTCGAATCCTTCCTTTCCTTCTATTGTTAAATTCTCGTTTTGTGAGTTGGTTTCATACCCGTATTGCGATGGATTACAAAAAACTTGGACCTTATTGACTTTTGTTAAGTTAGGAACGTAGTCTATGGTAATCGAACCCCGTGGATTACAAAAAAGTTGGTTCTTATTGACTTTTGTTAAGTTGAGAGCGCCGTCTGTGGGAATCGAACCCACGACCACGTGGTTAAAAGCCACGCGCTCTACCAGCTGAGCTAAGACGGCTAGTTAATAAAAGCTTTTCTTCTCTTATTCTCTTAACTACTTTTTTAGATGAACAAAAAAAAAAACACTCTAAGTATGACGTTCTCAAGGAAGAGGTGAGGAAGATGGTGGTGAATGTTGCAGTAAGAGGAGATGATGACCACGAGACCAAAATTGTTAACAAGAGACAGTTGGTAGATACGATCCAACGTTTGGGCGTTTGGGTATTATTATGAATTAGAGATTGAAGAAGCACTTGAAATGTGCAAAAATATATTTTCAATTTCACTAGGTAAGGGTACATATGGTTCGAAGCTATAAATTGTTTGATTAATGAATCCATGAATAACGATGATTTTTTCCGTATAGAAGTGAGCATTGAGTGGATTTATTCGAATTTAAGTGAGTTTGGAACCCCATCCATTACGTGGTGGATGAAGGGGAAAATGACTCGCACCCATCCATGCATATACATGTGGATGAGTTGAGTTATGTGATAGCATATGAGGGGTGGTTGTGTGGGTTAAGTGAGTTTACAACATACATTTCAAGATATCACATAATTCATATTGTTCTAAACATAAGATGATAGAAATCTCAAGACAAAATTACTTTTAATCCTAAATCAAATGCATAATTGAGCTAACAATAATACCTCTAGTAATTGCTCATAGAATCACAAACATATTCAGCTGATAGACATTACCTAAGTATAATCACAACAAAATAAAAAAAAATTCATCATATAGACATTACCTAAGTATAATCACAAGAAAAAAAAAAATTCATCATAAGTCTAGCTAATTGTTTAAGTCTTGAGCCACAATAACTCACAGAGCACTTGTGAAATAAACAATAAAATAAGCCGAAATAAGAAAAATTAACAATGAATTGTAAAAGGAAGTGAACATATGATATAGATTTCCAACTAGGAAAACAAATTAGACTTTTAAGTTATCCTCAATAATTGTTGGCCTAATTCGAGATCATTCAGGACACTACATTGCATCGTTCGCTTATAACCTTGAATACTGCTCCATCACCCAGGTAGAGTTGAGAGGAGCTGTTGAAGGTATTCAGGTGGCTTGGGACCTCGGCTACCGGCGCATCCGAGTGGAACTAGACTATAGATGCGCGGTTCAGATGGTGAGGAGTGCTGAGAGCTCTACCCACCGTCATTCCGACATTGTGGCTAGATTCCAGGAGCTTGCGAGTCGGGGGTGGGGGAACTGGTAGTTTCCCATATCTATCGCGAGACTAATAAGTGCGCAGATTACTTAGCTGATTGTGGTCATTCCCTGTCTATGGGATTGCATGGTATTCCTCCTTCTGACCCCATTTGTATCATCTCATTTTGTGTGACTGTTAGGGGCTTTCCGAGCCTTGTATGATGTTGAATGAAAGCTAAGATGCGGTACATCTTTTTACTGTAAGGTATTAACCGTGGCTGATATTGTATTATGAAGGGGTATTTATACCCAATAGTTACAGTGTACAATGAGATAGAATACTAATGGAATAAGGAAAACTATAAACACCAGGTACAAGGAATACAAACTAACAAGGACTAGGAATTCTTCCCTATACGCCCCCGCAAGAGGGACGAGGCGTCAGCAAGTCCCATCTTGGACATGAGAAGCCGATAACGAGTAACGGGAAGAGCTTTCGTGAGTAAATCAGCTAGCTGAATTGCAGTAGGGATATGACGAACAAGCAACTGCTTGGTCTGAACAAGCTGACGTACAAAGTGATAATCCAACGCCAGGTGCTTCATACGTGAATGAAAAACAGGATTTGAACTGAAGTTAACGGCACCAAGATTGTCACATAGAAGAAGTGGAGTGCTGGGAAGTGGATAGCGGAGCTCGGACAATAGATTTTGAATCCAGACAGCTTCGGAAGTGGCCAAGGCAAGAGCCCGATATTCCGCTTCGGTACTGGATCGAGCAACAGTGCGCTGCTTTTTGGACTTCCACGAAATCAAGGTATCACCAAGGTAAATGAGGAAACCAGAAGTGGAGGTGCGATCATCGATATCACCAGCCCAGTCGGAGTCGGAGAAGATACGGAGAGAAAGAGGCAAAGACTGGCGACGAATCTGAAGACCCACAGAGCGGGTACCAGCAATGTAGCGCAACAACCGTTTGACGTGCTGCCAATGCGTAGAGGTCGGGGCATGCATGAACTGGGATAACTTGTTGACCGCAAACGCAATATCCGGGCGAGTAGTGACAAGATACTGAAGTGCCCCAAGAACTTGTCTATACAAAGTAGCATCGGCAGGAGAAGAACCATCAACAAGTGCAAGCCGAGCAGTGGAAGCAAGAGGAGTCGAGGATGGAGCAGCTTCATGCATTTGGAACCGGGTAAGGATGTCTGTGACGTATTTATGCTGCGACAAAAGGTAGCCTGTGGAAGTGGGTATGACTTCAATGCCAAGGAAATAGTGAACATGACCCAAGTGCTTGAGAGAGAACCGATCAGAGAGCTTGGATTGAAAATCACTTAAGAAGGCCGCATTGTTTCCCGTGAGGAGCAAGTCGTCAACGTACATGAGAAAATAGGCCAAAACACCACCCTGAGAGTAAACGAAAAGAGAAGCATCCGAGGAGGTTTTGACAAATCCACACGAATGTAGGAAGGAACTCAACGCATCATACCAGGCACGCGGAGCTTGACGTAGACCATAGATTGCTCTTCGAAGACGGCAAACATGATGAGGAAACTGGGGATCCCGGAAGCCAGGTGGTTGAGACATATAAACCTCCTCATCAAGAGGACCTTGAAGAAATGCATTGTTGACGTCATACTGAAAGATGGGCCACTGCGACGAGAGAGCCAAAGTAAACACCGTACGAACGGTGATGGGCTTGAGCACTGGACTGAAAGTCTCATGGTAGTCAACACCGGCTCGCTGATGGAAACCTTTGGCAACCAGGCGACACTTATGTCTCTCAATAGAACCATCGGGAAGCCACTTGACTCGATACACCCACCGGCAGCCAATGACATTGTAGTGTGGTAAACGGGGAACCAAATCCCACGTAGCATTTGCCAGAAGAGCACGATGCTCAATATGGAGAGCATCACGCCAGACATCGTAGCTCATGGCCTCCTTGACGGAAGTCGGTTCAAGCCGTGGGGAAACCTGCGAGGAGACAACATGTAAATATTTGCGGTTAGGCTTAACAATATTGTTCTTCGCCCGAGTTTGCATGGGATGGTGGGGAACCGGGACTGGCGGAGAAGCAGGAGGAGATGAGCTTGGTGATGACGATGCTGACGGCGAAGTTGAAGATGTTGCTGAATGGTCCGAATGAGAAGGGCTAGAAGAGGGCGTGGCGGCCGGAGGAACATTCTCGGGAGCTAAAGTGGATGAAGCTGGAGCATGTAGCCTGCAAGGAAAAATGGAAATATGGGGAGAGGTGGCAGTAAGCCAGGACACAGAAGTAGAGTCAGCCGATTGAGATGGAAACACATATTGGACACCAGGAAATTTGTCTTCAACAAAGAGAACATGACGGGAGAGAAAAACACGACGCGAAAGAGGATCAAGACAACGATAGGCACTTTGTTGGTGAGAGTAACCAAGGAAGACACAGGGACGAGAACGAGGTTCAAGTTTGTTGGAACTGTAAGGACGCAACCAAGGATAACAGAGGCAACCAAAGATACGAAGTTTAGAATAATTAGGAGCTTCATTGAACAAGACAGTGAAGGGTATTTGACCACGAAGAGACGAAGAAGGTAAACGGTTGATAAGATAGACAGCGGTAGAGAAAGCATAGGACCAGTAAGACAGTGGAAGATTAGCTTGATGTAACAGAGTGATACCAGTTTCAACGATGTGACGATGCTTGCGTTCAGATAAGCCATTATGTTCAGGGGTGTAAGGTGGAGTAAGAAGATGGGTAATGCCGTGTCGAGCAAGATCAGATTTGAGCTTTTGAAACTCACCCCCGCCATCGGTATAAAAACGTCGGACAGAAGTTTGAAAATAATTTTCGACCAGCTTGAGAAAGGAAAGAAAAACAGACAAGACATCAGATTTCAATTTAAGAGGATAGATCCAAGTAGAAGGAGTAAAATGATCGACAATAACAAGATAATAAGAATAACCGTCAACAGAACAGACAGGGGCTGGACCCCAAACATCCGAAAACAAAAGATCAAACAGACGAGTACTAGACATACTAGAATCCCCAAAGGGGAGCTTATGGCTTTTGTTCGACAAGCACGAATTACAATGAGAAATAGAATGATGCGTATGCGGAAGAGAGTGCACACGAAGAAGACGTAACAGAGACTT